AAAAACTGTATGTTTGTGTTCACATTATACATGTGTGTTTCTATGATAAGTGATTTACCATACTCTTCTTAGCTTGGTCAACCACATACAAGTCTATGGACAAAACACACCCAGAGAGAAAGATATAAAGCGCACTATGACAGTCGTAGCAGTGAACAGTTGTCTTTTTAAAGCAGTTCCCCAGTTCTACATCCAGAGCGCTGCTTGGTGGACTGGCGTTGATGTAGTCTCGCCTCTTTTCTTTGATGGCACTACAGGTAACATGTTACTTATACGGTCCTCCCATTTAAGCTCTTGTATATATTTTATGTAAATATTAGGAAGCGTGTTTATTGGTCACATATCACACTTGTATTTATGTGTCTGGTTTATTATTGACCGTAGGACATTATTAGCTTTTTAATGTGCCCCATCCTTTATCTGTTTAATATTGGCATTGTAAACGTTTGGTTTATTTTTTACTGGCAAAAGTGGGTGATAAATAGTGTGTGGGTTTAGTGTGTGTGCCCACTGTATTTATACGACTAGATATTCACTTTTCAGAGATTCTTATACGGATATTGATCAAGATTTTTTTGGTGGCGTTTGATCTTTTGGCCGATTTTTCTGAAGATATGCCATTAGTCTGGAAATTAATTAACTGCGTCCCTGTGGCTCCTGTTTTTGGTAAGTATAATTTTTTTATATATTATATGCAACAATAAAGATACATTTGTTGCTTTACCACGTATGTATAGAAAATAATTACAAACTAGTGAATTTTTTAACATTTTTGTTAACATCGTTCTATGTAAGATATGAGTTTTTGAAATGAAATACAGACATAATGGAAGAGAGATAAAAACTGGACGTAGAAAAAAAAAAACGAAATGTATTACGTTATATTCCGTTTCCGTCTCTAATGAGGTCGTGTTTTCCTTCATCTGTGTGTACACGGCATTGAGTTTATGTTTGCAATCATATGAATGCTTAGCCTCTACCCCCAGGTGCCCGCGTGTTTGTGTTCACGTCGCTCTTCGCTCTGCAAGATTCCTGGCTGTGGATTTCTTTCCTTCTTCCTTCCATCGGCGTCGTCGCGTCTTGGCTCCTCAGTGCCAGAACAGGAGACAGGAGGGTCGTTGAGGCATTTGCAAAGACCCTCCTCCTCCCACCCGCTGACATGGTGGGCATCGTCCCTTCTGCCTTGTACGTAATCGTCTACGGATTGGCTGTCTGTGCGGGCAATAGCTGCACCCTATTTCCATTGTCTTTCGTGTTGCTCAGTCACGTCGTGGGAGGAATCTTATGGAAAGGTGTTTTAAATAAAAAATATCAAAAGAGCTAGTAAGAGGGGCACATTTCAATGGGTTTCAATCTTTCTGAATGTTGCGCCGCCTATTAATGATCACAAAACATTGATCTTAATGTCAGAGAACTTTAGATATTTGATATATTAGTAGGGGGTATGTTATGCTGATGATATATTTTTTTTGTTTTGTTTTTGTGATTAGCACTCTGTCATATAAAACCATTTGTGTAATAAATACTGATTGTATGTAATGGCCTGATATGCTTATGAATCTCATTTAGTGTCTTAATGAATCCTATACAATCAGTTAATTAATATCATTACTTAATAAGTAGTATTATCAGATGATTAGTGAATAACAATAAATAAATAACTACTGGCAGGCTACAGAGTCATCAAAATGAGAAGCTAATATCTATCACATACTTTCGAATAAGTCTCTGTTTATATTTTTTCTTTTGTATATATGTTTATATGCAATAGGCAAACACACATCCAGTACACAAACACACACACATAGAGAGAGACTAATACGTCTCACACCTAGAATGACCATTGTAACAAATGGAATGAAACTAAATTATATTCATATTAATATATTCAAATACATGAATGCAAAGATGCAGATTTTTAGCTCATGGTTGTAACAAAGAAAGAAAACAGACAGCTTACGATCAGGATTGAATATGACAGCCCTGTGCAACCTGCGGCCCAAGGGCCGCATGCGGCCCTCAAAGGCTTTCATTGCGGCCCTTTCTCCTAAAAATAAATAAACTATAGTGCGGCCCTCAGAGAGAGAGAGAGAGAGAGAGAGAGAGAGAGAGAGAGAGAGAGAGAGAGAGAGAGAGAGAGAGAGAGAGAGAGAGAGAGAGAGAGAGAGAGAGAGTTACCAAGTAGAGCCCACCGAAAGTTTGACAAAATTCATATTCTCGTGTACCAGTATCACCATATTTTTTCTATTTCGTTCACTAAGGTACATATTTTAATTATATTAGAACAGAAAATAATATATTACTTGACATTTTTAATTATTAGACTGAGTGATCATTGGCTGTCTGTCTATGAGTCTGACACGTATGGTTCACGTACTGTAGTATGGTACGTGTGCTCTCGCCTGTCAGTACCGCTGCCTCACCAGTCTCCGTTGTGACTTCATTGGTTGTGGTTGATTTGTGATTACCAGTACGTACTGTAAGTTATTAATGTTGCAGT